TTATTTCCAAATTGCCCTCATAAAATGGATGGGCCTATCAGCTGGTGGAAGAGTGGACAGATTAGACAAATTCAAACATTTCTTTTTGACTTACCAGAACTCACTGATTAAAACCATGAACAGCATTTAAACAGATAATTTTAAATCAATGGAACACCCAGTGCTATTTGAAATTCTAAGGTCAAATCCAACAGGCTCTCCTAAACATTTTAGAAAGATATATAAGGGAGGATTTGGAATCCAAATTTAATTAATCAAGCTGGAAATGCATGTCATAAAATTCCCTCTAAATTTACTTTTAATCATCAAGAATTGACTATAAAATAATCCATAAATTCATATAATATGGGTGTTGTCCAAATATGTGGATTTCATCTAGAATTCACCAGCATATAATTATTATTGAGAAAGTCAGGCATTAAAGTTCACATGGTTGGAAGAAATGCAACTGGGGGAAGCTGTTCAGTATTTTGGGGGAGGAGAGATATTGAATATGAACATGATTTTCTTCTCCCTGAAAAAAATATTCACATAATCCCAGGTTTTGCTTTTAAGGGCAGGTTTTTGTTGGTTCACTTTTTTGCTTTGTATTTTTTTATTCTGATGTTTCATTGAATAAAAACTTACAAAATCTTTTTCAAAGAAAAATGAGATATCTATAATAATTAATAAAATAATGGCATAGCTCAGTGGTGGCGAACCTATGACACAGGTGCCAGAGGCGGCACTCGGAGCCCTCTCTGTGGGCGCACGTGCGTTGCCCCAGCTTTGCCTCCTCCCATCACCCCCTCCTCACCAGCAGACCCCCTGGAGGAGAGTCACCCCTGAGCGTGGCCCACACAGAGCAGTGCAGCCAAGGACATGGCAGCCAGGCAGCGTAGACAAGACTCTGCCCTCACACCCCATCATGCACAGTTGATGCTGCGGGGCGCAGGCAGAGGGCATGGCCGCAATGGTGCTGCTGGGCTGCCTGGGCGATCTGCGGCGGGCCCTGGAGGTGGTGAGTGGCTCTACGGGCAGGCAGGGTGGGGGTGGGGCAGGGGGCAGAGCGGGGGCAGGGCCAGTTTTTGGGCACTCGGTCTGTAAAAAGTTCGCCATCACTGGCATAGCCCATACAGCAATGGGCTGGCCTAGAAACCAGGAGGCCTCTAGGCCTTCCTTAGGCATGAAAAGCAGCTGGATGACTGGGCCAATCAATCTGCTAGCCCAACTCACCTCACAGGGTTGTTGTTATGGGAAAAACTAGGAGGAAAGATTATTAGGTACGTTCACTGCTTTGAGTCATATATTAAAAAGCTGGGAATAATAACAATAAAACAATAATAATAAAATAATTGGTTGATTGCAGATCTAATAATATGACTATAGTATTTAAACTATTTTAGTGTTTATACCACTACTTAAGGAATTGTTTGTAATAATAGATAAAATTCAAATAGGATCTGCAAAATTTGCAAGAGATAGTGCTTGTGTTTTGTTTAGTAGCCAACCATCCATGCCTCTTCAGAGAAAATCCATTATATTCCCCTTTCTTTCTCCCCACTAAGGAATTATCATTCAGTCTATTCAAGCTTTATTGAGATTGTTTGAGGATTAAAGGTTCCATTTGTCCGTATAAAGTTTTTCCTTTGTCAATGGTAAAGTGACATTCCCTTGTCAATGGCAAATACACTTTCGATTTTATAGATGGTTTTGTGTGGCAGTTTGCTTTTAATACATAAAATGAATATTGCATATTTTTTCTTGCAGCCTGGCAGATAGTCAGTTCTTCCATGCAGAAAACTGGCTCCGGGATGATGATAAACCTAGAAGGCAGCATTCAGTGCTGCGAAGAGTGAAGCGCTTTCTGAGCGTCCGAGAAGTTTCCCCTTCGCCCAGCAGGAGGACCTACCAACGACAGTCCAGTGAAAGCTCAATTTTTTTCCCATCACATGAAATGCATCATATTGATAATCTTCTGGAAATGCACTCTAGAGGGAGACACTTCCCTTTAAATGACAGGAAAACTCCTAACTGGTCTGATAAGAATGGAAAGATGCATGGAAGTACGGATCTTACAGTTATTCGAGAAAGCAGCAAGAATGATACTCTAGAGACTTCCTATCAATCCAAAGTGGATGAGAGAATTAGCAAAATAGACTCACCAACTGTCAAAACTGAGAGCAAAGAAACCAGAGTGGACTCAAACATGTATAAGGTCTCCCATGTCGTGACAGGAAAAGATTTGGGCAATCAAAGTGAGTTAGAGACAGATTCTGAAGGAATTGTGCTGACCCATTGTGGAACACTCAATGGTAATGCAGATTTGTTAGTAACACCTTCAGAAACAGAACCTCTTCATATGGAATGCAAGCAACAGGATTCATCTTTGGGTATGCCGAAAGGAACTAAATCACCCTCATCTCAAACATCAAATATCAATATGGCAGATAATCAAAGATGGAGATTTCCAGATGTTCTTGCTCAACATGAAGTGCTCAATACCAAAGAATTGGCAAGTTCCTCTGGAAAAAGCAACTTAAGTCCAGATAGCACACCTACATCTAGTCCTATTTCTCCAGTTGCGTTTGACATATGTTACTTACTAGAGCAACCAGATACTAAAGAAATCAATATTCTTCATATAGCTGAATTTAACAATGACTCCACTAAAGATCACCTTTGACAAATAGAGTGATGTGGACTCATAGTTTTGTTATAAAATTCTGGCATACAGAATGTTAAATTTCCCTTGGAGAAACAAAGCTTTGCAGCCTGCATCATGTCTAACCTACTATGTATGTTCAGTATGTTGATAAAAACAATTTTAAAATGTTTGAACCTACCTTTATTTTTTAGACAGATGTAAATGCAAATTAAATAAGATTAAGAAACAGTGAAGTAAATATCAAAAGGAGTAGGAGAGAGAGAGGATAATCAAACTTTAAGTGGCATTCTATCTCTTTGTAACAGCCTAATTCATTTGTAAGTAAATTCTGAGTATTTAACAGTGAAGATTATCTCTAAAACTCATCCCTGGCTGATGTTGCTTAAATAAAGGAAAACTTTTTCAGGCACGACCACTTGCATTTTGACTTCTATGTAAGCAAAGATTTTCAGAACAGGTGCCTGAAATGATCTGAACTGCAGAAACAAATCATGATAATAAAAAATTATGAGATTCTCTAAAGACAGGTATGAAACTGACAGTCATTTCTACTGACATATACAGTACAAATAATAATAATGATAATGATAAAGTTGGAAGGGACCTTGGAGGTCATCTAGTCCAACCCCCTGCTCAGGCAGGAAACCCTATACATTTCGGACAAATGGCTGTCCAGTTTCTTCTTAAAAACTTCCAGTGTTGGCGCATTCACCGCTTCTGGAGGCAGGTTGTTCCACTGGTTAATTGTTCTAACTGTCAGGAAGTTTCTCCTTAGTTCTAGTTTGCGTCTCTCTTTGGTTAGTTTCCATCCGTTGCTTCTTGTCCTGTCTTCGGGTGCTTTGGAAAATAGCTTGACTCCCTCTCCTTTGTGGCAGCCCCTGAGATATTGGAACACAGCTATCATGTCCCCCCTCGTCCTTCTCTTTGTTAAACTAATAAGACTAAGAACTAGAGTCTTTGTAATAGAAGGTATATGATCAGATGACAGGTGGGAGAAAGCGTACCGAATTCATACCCATTCTTGCTTGAAGTTCTTCTTCTCCTATATAATGATATTTTGGTCTTCTTTTCTTAGGGAAAGGCAATTTGCATGTTTACATTCCTTGCATGGCTGCTCTGAGAAACTCCTGGAGAATATTCTTCGACTTATAAAACTCTTGTGATTAAAGTTCTTCTGTTTCTGTCTCCTTAATATGAAAAGGCTGAAAATGTAGCAATGACTTTTTAAAATCTTGGCATACTGCCAAAATATCAATAAAATTGTTGCTTGTAGGAGAATATTCTGTAGTTTTAATGACATCTCAAAGAAATGCATGTCATAACTTCATTTATTTTTTTGTATTGAAGGGTGGGGTGTAAGATGGCCATTTAATGAGAGAAAAGCATAAAGAAAAGTTCACTACTAGCTTCAGGGCCACATCAGGCAAAAAGGGACTGCTTTCATTCAGCTGCCTCCTTTGGAACAGAATCCACAATTTAGTGCTAAGCAGGACTTCAGTTTTCCAGCAGGTGAAAACAAAACAGTCAAATTAACTTGAAATAGAATGACTCAGAAGATTATTTGCTTGATCAACTTTATTTATACATCTGAAAGTCCAAAAAAGATTGAACAAAAGGGGGAGATTAAGGAGAAATGATAGCTCTGAACACATCTGGTTTATGAAAAATAAATTTTAGTGAGCAGTATTCATATGGAGAGATGATATTTGAAAGTGGCTGTATTGGGTAGTAGTCTTAAATATCTTGCCTATCTTTATGGCAGACAAGTGGAATCTTATCCAGCCACAGACCCAGCTAACTAATTATACCAATGCCTGAATCTACAGTGGGGAAACGCCTCTTCCCTCTGCTGAAGATCTGCCTTCTTTGTCAGCAATGAGCTGGGAAATGGAAAAGAATCTAGCAAAACAGGTGAAGAAACTCCATGGGCCAAATCAGGCCTGTCAGACAATTTTCCTTTTCTCGAGGGTGGGGAACTATGGTCCTTTTATTACTTGTGGACTTCGACTCGCAAAATTCCTGAGCCAGCCATCGTTCCCCACCTCTACTTTACATCAGCTGTAATATACAAATATAATTTCTCCAGATAAGTAACTTTTCACTTACCAGTTGGGTAGTAATAATTAGCAGAATAACAATAATTTTTGCCTTAGAATAAAAGTTTGTTTCAGTGGGGTCTTTTCTCATTTAGGATTGAAAACTATGACTGCTGTCCTTTGCAAAAATTAACGAACATCATGATCCACTGAATCAGTGTTTCTCAACCTTGACAATTTTAAGGCATGTGGACTTCAACTCCCAGAATTCCACAGCCAGCAATGCTGGCTGTGGAATTCTGGGAGTTGAAGTCCACATGCCTTAAAATTGTCAAGGTTGAGAAACACTGCACTAAATGTAAATTAGCTCAGCCAAATGGCTCAGCTCTATGACTTTTGAAAATTTTATTCAGGTATTTCTAATATGGCTGTATAACAAGTATTGAGGTTTCAATCATAAATAGATCTCCAATCAGGCATCCTGTTACTCCTGCCACATCTGACAGTTAATAGGTTGGAAAAAGTCGCTACACCTCAGAAAGATCAGAATCAAGCTGTAAAAGTGGTCTCCAGATAGTTAAATCCTTTTATACCTTCTCCCCCTTCTCTCCCCACATATCTAAAGCAATTCTTGTTCATTGTACAAAAGGCAAAATTATCAGTATTATCTCTACCTAGGCTGCTTTACTATTTCTGTTGATTTCTTCTCTTTCCTTTACAAGCTGATTTAGCAAAGCCAACTCTATCATGTCCACGATCAAAAACAGTGTAAAAAGCTGACATAAATACATCTCCTAGAATCCACAATGGTCCTTTATTAGAGATGAGATCCAACGACTGGAAACCACTGTAACACAAGGTCTCATATCTGCTCTTTTCCTGCCAAAGAAAAACAAAGATTGCTATTGGGTACCATGTGCTGGACCTGACATAGGGGGCTGTGGTGATGAGAAAGTTTGCTGGCCCCTTTAATTAAATGCTGTGAAATTATTAAGAGAGAGTAGTCACAGAGATAGACGATGGTGCATTTCTTTTAATTTATGCTTACCTTGTAGGATTGGGGATATTAGAATCTATAAGTTTGCATTTTTGAACCAATACATGTAGTAAAATGTATTTATATTCAAAATTCATCTTTTCCAATTTCAAAATCTAGCTCATCAACAATTTTGAAAACTTGTTCATGTTAATTCAACATTTGTACAATATGCATATGAATTCCTTCCTTCCTTTTTTTTGGTCTGTCTCTCTGTCTTTTGTTCTGCCTTTAAATTAATCTTGACTCCTGGTGATTGCCTGGACTATTCCCTACAGTTTTCTTAGCAAGGTTTTCAGAAGTGGTTTGCTATTGCCTCCATCCTAGGGCTGAGAGAGAATAACTGGCCCCAGGCACCCAGCTAGTTTTATTATTAAGATAGGACTGGAACTCAATCTTAGAACACTATGCAAAACTGCAAAAAAAGTTATAAAAATATCCACTGAAACCTGTACTTATAAATTTTGTTGCATTTTTATGTAAAAAGGAAATAAAAGAAAAAGAAACAAAACTCAATAAATCAAAATTGATGTTTTCACAAAAATGAGAATATGACATTAACAAATTTATCCAATCCTATAAATCATTCTAATTATCCTTTCCCCAATCTTATTTACATATACTTAACAAGCTAAGCTGAAGGTGGGTGCAAACTCTCATCCGCACTGGGGCTCAGATGCAGCTAGAAATAACATACATTAGATGAATAGCATTCACCACCAGACATCTCTGAAAGTAGAAGTCATTCATCAGTGGAATATTGTAAATTGGCAGGCACTCCCTTGAATGAAACCTCTTAATTGCCAGTTTTTATCTATGCACTACTAAAACTTTTATTATTGTTACCATTAACTGGGTGAAATGGTGCATCATTGGGCAACAGTTTTTGAACCATGTTACCTCAAATAGCCTAACCTACAGAATGTGTCCAAAATCTAGAACCCATTAGACCCAAGAGAATGAAATTTGAGAAAGTTTTGGCTATTTAAGTTTTGCTGGCGGTTGCTCTTCTGTGGTCACGTGATTTTCAACATTTGTGACAGTTTCCCAGCCAAGTTCACAACCCTTGATCCCTTACCCACCAAACAGCAGCCTCTTCCCTGCTTGATGGGATGGGATGGGATGAGATGAGATGGGAAGGGAAGGGAAGGGAAGATTTCTAATGCTCCCTGCCAGTTTCCTTGCATCCCAATGGTGCATGAGTTCTGTTGCTTAGAATCTCAGGCAGACTAAATCCTAAGGCTGGGGTGAGTGGTCTGAAATCTCATGGTTGCATTTGGTCCACATAGTAATTCCCTCCCTTTTTTTAATCCTTTAAAGTCAACCTTAACTCCTGGCAACTACCTGCACAAATCCCTGAAGGTTTTTTGGCACAGTTTTTCAGAAGTGATTTGCATTTTCTGATTTCTAGGACTGAGACAGTGCAACTGCCCCAAGGTCACCCAGCTTGCTCTGTACCTAAGGTGGGACTAGAACTCATGGCCTTTCAATTTCTAGCCTGATGCCTCCCTCTGACCACAGTTGCCAAACTCAGTGGCCTGATTTACCCATTTAAACATTAACAAAATAAGTTCTGAAATATACTTGAGTTTAAAATTATTATTGTTATTATTGTTGTTAATAATAATAATAATAATAAGCCCCAGAGAGGCACTACCTTGATATGATTGTGGGGCTTGTGTGCTCTGAGGAAGGTGAGAGTTATGCCACAGGTTCAATTATACTCATCAGGTCTCATCAGAGGAGTCAGACAAAGAGTGTCTCTCCCATAAAAAATATTGTGAGAAGTAAATTTCAGAAAGCCATACTGGCTCAGCTGTCACCTGGATTAACAAGGCCTGCGCTAGATGTTGGTGTTCCTGAATATCTGGTGAAAAATGGGCTACAAGACTCAGGAGTGTTGGCTGAGCAACCAGGGCCAGCAGCTGCAGAGCTACTGGAAGAAAAGGTGTTTACCCATCGCAAATACACAGTGATTGAAAACAGAGAAATAATGATCTAGTATTACAGATCAAGTCCAACAAGAAGAGGATATTTGAAATGAATGCACCAGTTCTGGAAAGAACAACATCCAGAATCAGAAATAACAGAACAGAGGTTAGCATATCAACATTGATTTATAATATGAAATAAAGTATTCACAGAGGCAGAATTGGAAGAACTGCAAAGATTTACCCAGGGCAAAGAAATCAAAGCCTTGTCAGAAGTAACTCAGAATGTAGAGACAAACCAGGGGGAGTTGGCAGTAGAGGAATCCAGCAGAGAAATATAACTCTTTTCATTTGGAAACCGGATACTTCTGCCTCAGGAAGACCAAAGCCTTCTAACTAAAGAAATACAAGAATTGAAAGAAAAAATAATTGAGCATCTAGAACAGCACAAAAACATCAGAATAAAGCTGCCTGCATTGAAGCTTGTTCCAAAGAAACAGCTAGCACAAGTGTTAAAAGATGCAAACACTGTAATATCAAGTATAAACACCAACTCACTGCAAGAAACAAACCAACTAATGTACAGCACAGCTGTAGTTATAACTGAATATCTGGGATCCAAATCAACAAAGAAGAAAAAAAGCCAAACAGTGCACCACAAAAATGGATGATTAGACTGGAAAATAAGCAAGATGAGATCAGACACAAGCAAGCTAGAACAGATGAAAGAAAAGAGGCTGAAGAAGAAGTCCAAAGAATACCTGATCAAGAAATCCCACTTAGAAACAAGGAAGCTCAAGGAAGCACTGGAAATAATAAAGCAGCAAATAACAGCTATAGCCAAGAAGATCAGCAGATATGATGCTTGAATTGCAAATTATAGGCAGAACCTCCAATTTCAATCGAATCAGAAATGTTTCTACTAATCCATCAATAGATCAGTCGGTACCTGACAAGAAAGAAACAGTGTAGTTTCTGGGTGCAGATATGGGATAACTCAAAGAAATACAACAAGGACGCAGCTTGGTTAAAAGAGGTTGATGCGAATGAAAAAGACGTTGAAATGACAAAACTAGTAATAACAGAAGAAACGGTAGAGAAAAGAGCAAGGAAGATCAAGCATTGGTCAACACCAGATAAAGATGAATTGCATGATTTTTGGTTGAAATTTCTAACTGGTCTATACCCACTCATTGCCAAGCAGTTCAACAACATACTAGAAGGAGGTGAAATTGAAAAGTGGCTAACAACTGGGAAAACCTACCTGATAATTAAAGATCCAGCAAAAGGGGCAACACCAGGCAACTACAGGCCAATTACCTGCTTACCAATAACTTTCAAATTGCTAACTGGTGTGATAGCTGATGCAGTCCAACAACATCTAGTTGAAAACAATCTCTCTCCAGCTAAGCAGAAAGGAAACCACTCCAACAACAGAGGAACAAAAGATCAACTCCTAATTGACAAAATGATCTTGGAAAACTGCAAGAGAAGGGAGACCAACCTGAATGTAGCATGGATTGACTACAAAAAGGTATTCGACTCTCTGCCACATGACTGGATAATCAAGTGCCTAGAAATAACAGGAGTCATCAGAAAGTTTGGGCAAAGATTGATGGCACAATGGAAGACACAGTTGCAAGTCAATGGTGAAAGACTGGGAGAGGTTAATATCAAGAGAGATATATTTCAAGGAAATTCACTATCTCCACTACTATTTGTTATTGCACTGTTTCCTCTGTTAACAATACTGAATAACTGAGGTCATGGCTATCAAACATCAAAAACATCTGCCAGACTATTCCACCTCCTTTACATGGATGATCTGAAACTGTATACAAAAACATTATCTGAAATAGAATCACTACTCAACACTGTCTGTATATATAGCCAAGATATTGCAATGGAGTTTAGCTTACTATCAAACAAGGAAAAATAGTGAAAACTGAAGGAATCAAGATGTCCCACGAAAATAACATTAAGAGTCTGGATGAGGAAGATTACTTCAAATACTTGGGTATCCTTCAGGCTGACAACATCAAGCACACTAAAATCAAGAAAAAGATTAGAGGTGAATATATCAAGAGAGTGAAGAAGATCTTAAAGTCCAAACTTAATGGAGGAAATACCATGAAGGCAAACAATACCTGGGCAATTCCAGTCATTAGATACACAGCTGGAATAGCGGACTGAAGCAGAACTAAAAGCAATGGTTAGGAAGACCAGAAAAATAATGACAATGAATCATGCCTTTCATCCACACAGTGACATTGACAGTCTCTACCTACCAAGACAAATAGGTGGGTGTGGAATGTTCCAAGTACATCAGATGGTTGAAGAAGAAAAGATAGCTTTGGAAGAATATCTGAAGGACAATGATGAAGATGTACTGAAGTTAAAATATCAAGAAGGCTTACTGATATTGGAGAGACCAAACTGGCCTACAAGAAAGTCCAAATGAAGAACAGAATGGAGGCATGGGAAGACAAACCACTATATGGCCAGTACATTTTAAAAAATAGCAGGGAAAGCAGATAACAACAAGACTAGGCACTGGCTAAGAGCAGAAAAGTTGAAGAAAGAAACCAAGGGACTAATTCTGGCTGCACAAGACCAAGCCTTAAGGACAAATGCATACAAAGCCAGAACTGAGAAGACATCAACAGACAGTAAGTGCCACTTATGCAAAGAAGCTGAAGAAACAGTGGACCACCTGGTAAGCTGCTGCAAGAAGATCGCACAGACTGACTACAAGCAGAGGCATGACAAAGTAACAACAATGGTGCATTGGAAGATCTGCAAGAAATATAATTTGCCTGCAAGCAAGAACTGGTGGGACCATAAAATAGAGAAAGTCATAGAAAATGAAAAAGTTAAATTGCTCTGGGACTTTAGAATTCAAACAGAGAGGCACCTAGCACATAACACCCCAGACTTAACAATTGTCAATAAGAAAGACAATAAAGTTTGGATAGTGGACGTGGCAGTGCCTGGAGACATCAGAATAGAAGAGAAAGAACTAGAAAAGATAACAAAATACAAAGACCTACAAACAGAAACAGAATGACTGTGGCAAAGGCAAGCAAGGGTAGTACCAATAATAAGAGGTGCCTCGGGTGCAGTCCCAAAACAACTGGAGCACCAGGTGAACACCATTGGCATTGTCAAATTTGCCATCAGTCAATTGCAAAAGGAGGCCTTACGAAGAACAGCTTTCATCCTGCGATGATATCTGTAACACCATTAAACATCCATATCTGCCTATCCCAGGTCCTTTGCAATGACTCAATAGGTAGACAAAAATGCCAAACCCAGTCTGAACATCTGGCTGACTATGCGATGATCAATAATAATAATAGCCTCATAACTACCCCAAATCCAGGAAAAGCAGAAAATCCTGGTATCACCCATATTGAAAGTAAGGCTCTTTCCACTGTGGTCCTCAGTCCCCAAAAATGTTAAATGTAACCATGTGTTGCCAAGAGGTAGCCTACCTTGTGTAGAAAGGATGCCATTTTGGCAACTTCTGAAACACAGCTGACTATCAGATAGAATAGTCAAAATATGACTCTCCAGATGTTCCCAATGGCCATGTTGGCACAAGATGCTTAGGATTATGGTTCAGCAGTATCTGGAGAAGAGTCACCATTTGCTCTTTTCTACCTCTCCTGGGAGCCAATTGGGGTACACCAGGCCCATTAAAACTGTTGCAGCCAAGCCAACTTCTTACTATGGATACCTGCTCTTGGATTACTATCACATCAATATGATCTAATTTTATTAATCTAATCTAATCTAATTTTGTCTCTTCATTTGGTTTCTTCTATCCTCTTCTGTTTGATCTGAATTCTGTCAACAGATGGATACAAATATGTATCTGGTCATTTTGCCTGTGCCTGCACTGAATCTGAGCTGAACTAATGCCTAACTATTGCATTGTTTCATGAAAGGCCAGCTTGACTTCATTATTAATCTATAATTACTTATGAATAGAACAGATTAATGGAAATCCTGCTGCTCAAGCCTTGGGGCAATTGGACTAGACAACTGGAGCATGAGGCCTCTTAGACTGAGGGCAAAGGGATCCATTTGCTCCAAATATTAACATCACTTACCCAAGGATGGTTACCTCCAGATACATTAAGTTTATCCTGTATACAGTCTCATCACAAATGAAAACACTTATTTGCTGAAGGAGAAAATAATCCTAAAACAGCAGCATATTCTGATTGCAAACAGGAACTGGTATGTGGAAGATAAGGATCAATAAATATTGAAAAGTTCTTTGAGCTGATTTCTAAACCCTTCCAAAATAATAATTCTGTGTCAAAAATCATGAGTATGAAAATCTGCACTTATCCCTTTTATGTGCTGCTAGAAAATATTTATGTGTTTGTTTGTTTGTTTGTTTATTATATGACATATACATGGACTAGCAGTATATTAATATTTTTGCTAGATTAATAGAATCCAATAAAATATGTGTGAAAAAAAGATCCATGTCTAAGACATCTAAGCGCAGCATTATTTATATTAAAATCATTATTAAATGATCATGAAGTGACCATTATTAAAGCTTGGATACATACCTTAATTGTATATTGCTTTGGTGTTAATGTGAATTCTTTCTGCCCAATGGTAAAGCTTATTGAGGGCAGACTGGAAAGTCTTCTGCAGTCCACAAGGAACTGTAACACAAATCAAAGCATTTCTTGATCTAAAATTTTGGTCACCATTTATAGTAACTTGTTCCTGATAATTCCTGACATCTAATCATCCACTGCATTTGAATATGGAAGTTTCATGTTTAACAATTAAATATAACCGTAAATGCTAGATCTGTTTTTCACAGTATAAGCCAAAGAACTGATACAGTGGCTTACTAAAAGCAGCATGAAGAACTAGTAAAGCATCATTGGAACTAGTAACAGGTAATATTTTCTCATAAGAATGTAGTCTCCCAAACTGCTTTCCCCCTGGTACAGGTGGGTGTACAACATCCAATCTGATGAGCACAGGAAGGAATAGGGTTGGATAAATCTACCTTACATTCTTTGACAAGAAGCTAAAGATGCTGTTGGCATAAAGTTAAACTGGCCATAAATAACAGAGAATGGGCCAAGGAAGAAATAGGGCAATACAAATCTTTGAAAGAGTGGCTAATGAACAAAGGGGAATTTCTTGAATCATTAAAATATTCATGTTGTTTGCAAGGTTGATGTACTTTTGACACAGATAAACTGTCAAAAGAGGTAATTTGCACTGTATGGGCCTGTCTGCTGAACAATTTCTTTTAAAACTGTTAAAACGGCCATGTAACCTTTAAAAAGATGTCACTGTTTTAATTATTCAAAACAAGGCCCTACATATACATTGTGAAACACCATTCTTGGAGGTATGCACAGCTGCCAACTAGCCATATGCTGGATATCAGTGGCAGCACTAATAAAAACAAGCATTATTATCAAGCCGGTCAAAGGGAACAATCAATATAGGTGATGATGTGTGTCAATTATGATTTAAGTGGAACAGTTTTAAGAGGGGAGTGAGTTCATAACTATATAGTGAAGTTCATAACTTGAGCAGTTCTTTTTCTCCTACATAGTTGGTGAATGTGTAAAAGATATTTAAAATGTTGGTTGTGAAACTTACACAAATGCACTACATTGGATTCAATTATCCCAGTCATGAAAAGACTTCCCAGCTGCATCTAAATAGTTACAGTCTTCAGCTATATCAGTATCTCACAACTAATAATGATATAAGGACAACAGATGGCAGCAAAAAGTCATCAAAACGTTTCAAAAGAAATCCACATGAATTAAGTCAGCTTAATTAAACAAACAATAATAATTATGGCTTCCAGTCAAGAAAATTATTCAGTATTTTCAAAAGAATGTTGGCTTTTAAACCAGCAGTTTTTACATTATCACTTGTTATAAATAATATAAGTTTTTCTCATGACTTTCATAAAATCAGTCTACCCATTCTTTAACCAGCATTAAATTATGCTTGTATAAAATTTCATCTGTAACAACTTATATCCTACCACAGGACAAATACCTCCTAAATGGTGGTGTCCTTATTTACCACAAGAAAAAGGACAAGAAGTCATGGATTGTCTCCCACCCCCTCTACCAAATGTCACCAGCTTGAGGGAAAATATCCATATTTGAAGAAACTCTATTGGGAGCTAATTCTTGACCTTCCAGCATTTACCAGCAAGTCTGAAAAACAGATTAAACAGTAAAGAGGAGATCCTGCTTCACTGCATGAAAAAAAAACAGCTGAAAGAAACTGAGGAAGGTCAAGAATTAGCTTCTGATAGAGTTTGTGGAAAGCCTGGAATTACTTTTGACAGATGCTCATTTGCTTCCCAACCTTTATTTCAGGGGGTGTCAAACTCACAATGTGTCACGATGTATTGCAACTTTTTTGCCATTGTTGGCAATGGGGTGAGTGCGGTTTCGTTATGATGCATCCAGCTTGCGGGCCAGCAGTTTGACACCCCTGCTTTATTTCATTTCTCCTGAAGACAGGTTTACCACTTTTTTAGAAGGACATGAACTTGTGTTCAAAAGTTAGCCAAATTAACAGCTGATCGATGGGGAGTTCACTCCCACTTTGCCTTGCAATTTCCCCTTTCCACTGGGCAGCTGTCTTGCTGCCCATGGAAAAGCACTCAGTGTTTGGGTGGAAGAATCCAGATGAACATAGAAATATCATCAAGTGGTCATCCAAATATTTACAGCCCAGACCTGATAGCTGTAGAATAAAAAAAGCTGACCAGTTCATCTAACCATCTTCCATTCAGTACCTTTCCTGTTTTCATTCTCCCATATCAGTATCCATTGTAGAATAACATTTGCTCCAAATAAAGCAGACAAACACTAGTAAACAAATGACAAATTCTCTCTTTAAAAATTCATCCTCTTCCATTTCCAGCAACTTCTATGTTGGTTTCCAGATATATTAAATATTGGCATAGTGGATAAAAGGATTATAACAAAACTTCATTGTTAGTTTTTCATTTCAGCAAAATCAATCTTTACTTATGCTTTAGTATATCTCTTATTTTGAGAAGTCTTCTCTCTCTTAATATATTTGTGTCACCATGATATCAACAATTTTTATCGTTTCCAGCCCAGAATTTTATTTACCTCTCCAGAAGAACTGGGGACAGCTCCAATTTTTGCTTGTAGTTTTTTAATATCTAGTAATGGACCAGTAATAAGAGAGGTTCCTGAATCTACAATAGCTTCACAACCATTTTTACATGCTGCGATCTGTCCCTGGATTTTCACACTGCATTATTGCATGTGGAAAGCATAAAGGGATGGGGGGGGGGCAAAGATCAATAATCAAGAAACAGACTGAAAGTAATTGGAATATATGAATACAAAAACAAACAAAATTAAGGAAATATTTTAAAAAGCCAACCTCAGATCTTTTTCTCTTTCTGCATTACATACACTTACACATACATACACACACTCATAAACACTACATCTGTACATTAATATCATTTGGATTTTTGCATAAAGTGTTGTCCAAAGAAAATAATGCTGCAATCTCATAATCGCCTGTTTCAAAATTCTGTAGTAAGATTTTTGCTTCAGTAAATATGTACTGAATTATCCTCTAATATCTGCCCACCTAGTAGTTCAAAAGCATGCAAAAATGTGAGTAGATTAATAGGTACCACTTTGGTGGGAAGGTAACAGTTTCCGTGCATCTTTGATGTATAGCGATACTGGCCATATGATCACAGAAATTGTCTTCGCACAATGCTGGCTCCCTCGTCCAAGAAACAGAGATGAGCACCATGCCCTAAAGTCAGACATGACTGACAGGGAAACTTTTACCTTTTACCATGCAAATATCTAACTTTTTTTATTTATAATGGGACCATGAGAAAACCATGCTTCTGGTTTTCTTAAAAACAAAAAACAAAAATATACAGTGATATTCAAAGAAAACACCTTGGTCATACTTTCTATGTGATCTGTCTCTTCTTTTGAAAAAGTTTCTATAGATGAAAATATTAAAAGAAAATTATACATATAATTATATTATATATTAAGTAATTATATTTAGTTAAATTAAATATGCCCTTCAATAAAATTATAGTTATATAAAATTATGCCTATGTGAGTTATTTCCCCTCGGGGATAGGAGGTGAACATTCAAAAAATGTTCAAAAAATCATGAATTTATTGCATGATAATTGCCTCAGATAGGTTGGTTGTTATGGCCCTGCTGGACATGTCCTCTGAGGAGTAGGATGGTGAGAAAGTGACATCAGAGGCACCTGAAGACAATCATCTTGGCATGGACTATTCCAGTAATGATGGAGTCAAAACAGGATGTATGACTCCACTCTCACTAAGGCAGTTCCAGGAAGCCCCAGGACGACCATGCCACATTCACAGCCCCTCAGAGTGTGAGGTACAGCCACCAGTCCTAAGTAGAGTGGTTGATAAAGATTCAGCCACAGAGGGAATAATTCCATAGATTGGAGAGACTTGGTAGGAAACAAGACAACAATGCTGAAGATTCAGCTGCTGCAGTTCTATATTTTATTCATTTATTTATTTAGAAAATTTACATGGCCGCCTGCTCACTCTTAGTGACTCTGGGTGGCTTACAAAAAATAAAATGAAGGCTCAGCAGGGCTATTGTATTGCTCTTCTTTCCTGGGAGTAGATGCTGAAAACAATTTTTCAGGCCTCTGCTCTGTTGTGTCTAGCTGACTATGCCATGTTTAGAACTCTGAGTTCTACTCCACTGTGTCTCTTGTCTCTTGGATTTGTAGCTGTTTAGTGAATTCCTGATCTTGATCTATACCAAGACTGTGACTGTGTTTACAGTTGCCATCATAATATATTTATAAAAAGGGCTCTTTTCTTTTTTAAAAAATTCTTCCTGAGCTCATATATTATTGTTATCTTGTTGTCTGGCAGCCAATAGTGCAGGTCCAGAAAATTGCTTCTCATATGCAAACATAGGCATAATATTTATGGATTAGTTGTGGTTCATCTGCTTCATTGGGGTCAGAAGTTGTTTTTATATGCCTAGCTCAAGATTTTTCTTTTAGCAAACTTACTTTTCAAGAGGAATCTGCCAGTACATTTTTCGACTGACAGGAATCCAATATATGGGTCCATTGTAGAGTGAATGGTCTATGCCTCCAAATATCAATTCACCCCCATCCTTGGTACCATCTCTGAAATGATGAAATACATTATGCTGATGAACAAAAGATGCAGTTGTTAAACTGAATGAGAACATATCTGGGACTTAGGGGAGATATTTGAAATAAATTAGGGATGGTAAAGAAATCTGTTATGGATTTATTTTCAAGAAAAATGGTGTAACCTGCCAAAATAGAAGCTATTATAGCATGAATTATCAGTTATTAAAATCTATCTCAAAGTATTTCTCAGCTCGTAATTGCATATAAAATGGTGCATATTTGGGGAAGTTTCATGCAATGCATTTATATTTGGAAATGTCTATAATACAGATTAATTGGAAAGTTGTATACAGATATAAGCAGGGAAATATGTTTACAGGACATGTAATAATCTATTAGAAAAAGTTGTTCATAGAAAAATAGATTTTTTAAAAAACAATTTTAAGAAAAAACAGAACTTTGATCAAACAGACTAGCTGAAAGTTAACAGGTAATCGTGTTGTGATTTGGTGGTTTATTTTGAGAGAAGTAAACCTCTGTGACTACAAAACAAGTTTTCCAACTGTATTTAACTAAGAGCTGCAAACAGTGTTTCCCAGAATATATAATGCAGAATTAGATAATCAATAATCTTCCCCAAAGAGGCAATGGCATGAGAAGTAAATAACTCTTGAATAGATGTTGATCAACTGATGCATCTATTTCTCCTCCATTTGTATATATTAATGTTTTCCCTTCTTTTCACATGAAAATACTGACCTGTTCAGAAAAAAGGAAAACACAGGCTGTTCAACCAAATTCTGTCTCATCATGTTGTCAAAGACTGGAACAGCTTCCACCACTGACAAGTTAGGGTACGCTAAGCCCAACACCCCATCAAAATATGCAGAGACAAAGGTGTTGCCCGGCTCCAAGAGAGATTCACCAAAGTCTTGGGCCTCAATGGAAATGTTGCTAATCTGTTCATCGATTGTAAAAGAAAAATAATATGAAAAAGATATTGTAGCTGCATACTGTATTGCAGGAATCATTTCAAGGTAATTGTTGTTTTATTTAGATTTTTATCCCACCTTTTTCATATACAATTCATGGTAGCAAACATACCAACACTCTTTTTTTTTCTCATATTATCCCCACAACAACTCTTTGAGCTCAGTTGAGCTGAGAAAGAGTGACAGGTCCAGTTGAGCTGAGAAAGAGTGACAGGTCCAAAGACACCAAACCAGTTCTCATGCCTAAGATGGGAGTAAAAAAACTGTTTCCTGGTTTCTAGGCCAACACCTTAACCACTATTTCAAACTGGCTCTCAATTGTTTCCTTAGGATATTATTCCTAGCTCCCCTAACAAGAAGGTGCCTATTTTAGTTGAATTCTTTTTAGAAGACAATTGGTCTCAGTTATCTCCAGCAATTTATTTCCTAATTCGAGTACACATTCTCAGAAAAAATAAAATCCTTGAAGATAACAGCAGTTCTCTCACCTGGACCACATCTTTGGAGGAAATGCCCATGAGATGCCCAGTACCATATCGCAGAGAAAATTGTCGCCCTCCATATTGATAGGAATGTGACAGAAACGACTCGAATTTGTTGTGTTTTACTGTAAAAATAAAATTTGATCTTAACCCTCTGGAAAGTAGGATTAACTTTAAAAATACTTTCTCAGCAAAAGAAAAACATGTAATTAAAGTATGTTACATAGTCCAGGGTCAAACTCTCTGTCAGAAAGCAGAGTAACTCTTAAAGAGAATGAGGCAGCGGATCTATGACAATTCATCACGGCCAACTCACAATGGGACAACTTATACTAATATCAAAGAAATGGTGGAACAGAATCATTAAAGGAAGGATGCAAAAGGAGGGACAAAATGAAATGTGAATGACAAAAATTAAAATAATTTGTATTCCTTTTAAATAATTAAATTGAATGGTTAATTGTCCCGTGGAGAGTTGGCCCATTCTGGAGGCAGCTGCTTTATGTGATGGAAGCTAAGGACAAATTGAACTGCTGGAAGGCAGAACTGAAATCTGCTCCATGAACCTTTAGTGAGCTTTCCCTTGTGAGATGAAACAGAGGTTGCTCAAATATCATTAAACTGCTAGTCTATTCAGTTTTTGTACATGTTACGGAAGAATGTCACCTTCTTTGTTCAGAGAGATACATATTGTGGTGTAGCCCCCGGCAAAGCTGATATTTAGATCTGATTGTTAAGCCATTCAAAGTATACTGAGGTTCTCTTACCAAGAGAAAGGTTCAAAAGTGTTTCCAACTCACTTCAAATCTAGTTTCTTTACAAAACTATCAATGAGAAACTGCAGCTAAAAATTCTTGACTGCTTCTGAAGAATGACTATAGGAAATAGCCCCACTAAGGCAGAATAATCACTTGATCAAAAATTAGCTTCCGATTCAAAGATACATAGAATACTTTTGTTAATATGAACATCTTATGAAGAAAGATTCGTTGCGTACTTTAGAAGAGTGGATATTTAAAGTTTCTAATTTTGCAGAAATGGCAAAAATTTCTGCTTATTTAAAGGATCATACACAAGAAAGATATATTATTGTATGGAGAAGATGGATAGATTATATTCAGAAGAAGTATGGGACTATAAAGTTTCATTTATTTTATGAGTAAATTTTATAGTAAATGTTGTATAAGAGATTTATTTATGGTGATGTAAATTAAGGGGAATTAAGGGCTAAGTATTTTTTTTTCTTTCCTTTTCTTTTTTCTTTTTTTATTGTATATTGTTAATTTTGTTATTAATAACCCTGTACTCTGCTCTGGGAAGTGAGGGTGGGGTTGAGGGTGGGTGGGTGGGTGGGTGGGTGGGTGGGTGGGTAAATAGGTAGAATAGGATAATATAGATATGGTAATTTATGAGAGAGGTGCTGCTTGGGCATTTCCCCTATGATGCGTTCATGTGCTTGAGAGGGATGAGAGGGGAGGAAGGTGAGGGGAGGAAGTAGGATGGTAAGAGGAGAAGGGGAGGGGAAGAGAGTAGTGAGGGGAGGAGAGAAAGAGGAGGGAAGTAGGGAAGGTATTAGAGAGGGTGGATGCAGCTTGGGGGGAATGAGCAAGCGGCACCTATGGTTATGGTTATGGTTATGATTATGAATTTTGTAAAGTGAATTTTGTTGTATATGTTGGATAAATGGAAAATAAAAAAAATTATTAAAAAAAATATGAACATCTTTGCCTATATCTATTATGATTATAATTTAGGCTAAAGGAATTGGGTACATTAGATCTCTCTTAACTCAAGCATTCTACTACTATTTCTTCCCGGTTATTTTGGTTCTATACAGATTTTCTTCCTCATGTAAAACAGTTTAAATAAAATAAGAATAAGACCACAAATTTAAAAGAAACAATAGAAAAATAGACAAATCAATAAAAATAGAAAAATCAAAATGTTCATTAAAAAAATGAGACAATTCAAAAATGACAATTTTTGAAGAGTTGCATCAACTTACTGAAATGAATGGGAAATATCAGAAGAAAAGAAATCTCAAAGGGGGTTTGATATCCATGAGAGAACTAGATGAAATCATGAATTAACAATTCTTTTCCCTAGTTTCCTGTGTAATGACAAAATTCTTTACTGCAGAATTTGAACTTTTCTTTGTTGATTTTATTTAAGTACTTGAATGATATAAATATTTCTTACAACAAGCATCACTCATGCAATATATTGATGGTACCCAAAGATCAGCAGATCCAGTGTCAAATATGACATAGAATTTCTGTGGGGGGGTGCCAATGCTCACTTCTCCGTAGTATTGGGCCTAAGAGGAAAAAGACATCCATAATTCAGTAATCAGTCACCTACCAAGTTCCAACTTGCTCTAAACCCTTTTCAGTTCTAAGGCTTCAGCCCAGACATCTTGTAAGAAAGGACAGTATAAGGGCTTCTCTCATAGCTAGGCTTCTCATCTCTAAAACATGAAAATGACGAGTTCTTGACCAAAGTCTTGGGAAGATCCTGTTAGTCACCTGGAGAATTTGGGAGGGGCGTGTTGAAACACTGATATCTAAAATTCCAGCTTCATCTTTAGAACTATTATTTTGTAAACACAGATGATAAGTTTGGGGTTTAGAAAAGCCATTGGCTCCATTGTACCCTCTGCTCTCTAATTGGCTTCTAGCTGCCTTGAGTGGGCCCTGTGAGTCTGATAAAACACTTACTTAATAGAACCCATAAGCCTGAAGTCAAACATACTATTAGTACAGACAATGTTATAATAACGTCAGATAAAGGGAGTGGGTTTTTGCTAATTCTGTCATTTCCATGTTTAACTCTATTTGCTTCTCAGCCCTTAAGGGAAAAAAACATTCAGAAAACATAGGTGGAACTAACAATCCCCTCCCACATTAATGAAAATTCTTCTACATCAGAAGTCTTTTTTAAGAAATTAGTGTACATTTGGATTCGTCTTATTATATTTTTATTATTTATTTGTTCACGTGTTTTTAATTTGTATTATAAATGTAAACCATAAAATAGTTTGAACCCAAAGTCTCTGCTCACAACATGGGATTTGCCCATTTTTATTTCTCTATAGTTTATTTTGGTTCTTGATAGCTTTTCCTGTAGGTCTGAAGAAGGATGTTTGGAACAACCCCAAGAGGTTGTATGGGAAGCAAGGGTGCTGTAGAAATGAGAAATAGTAAAAGAAAGATGTATGGCAGCTCACACAAGGCTCAGGAAAGACATTTTGAGCAATACAGAAGTCTACTGTGAGCAGGGGGGGAAATGCTGTGTGGGGTCTGAATCCAAATCAATAAAATCCACTATTGGCTCTTGTTTTAGTTATTAAGTCAGTATAATACAACTTGGTATTGCACTTTGTGAGGTGCATATCTATTTCTATACAAATATTGTATTAAGCATTTTTTTAAATTTCCACCTATGTTCTGCCATTATGTCCATATGCACTCAACAAAGCATAAATACTTAATATATTTAAAAAGTTATTGTAAACTAATTAAAATTGAACAGGCATGGCTCATAGGAAGGTATAATTCCTATTCTAAAACTGGAAAAAGTGTAGACTGAGATAAATTCTTAGATGCAGCATGGATGCTGTGTAGGGAAGGGTCTTTCCCATATGCATAACAAGAAGATCTCAGAGAGTAAGGGCATCAGAAGAGAACCTCTTTTCCTGATTTAATACGTTAGGTATTAAACAGAACCTAATATAACAGGTTAGATCACAGGTAATCAGAATTTTTTTTTTTTTTTTTGGTCTAGGGCAGGGGTAGGCAACCTTGGCTCTTTTATGATTTGTGGACTTCAACTCCCAGAATTCCTGAGCCAGCCATTCTGGCTCAGGAATTCTGGGAGTTGAAGTCCACAAATCATAAAAGAGCCAAAGTTGGCTACCCCTGGTCTAGGGCTTTAAATGTTAAAACCACTACTTTAAATAGTAGCCAGAAAGTAACTGCCAAGCAATATTCTGCATCTATTTGCTGCCTGGATGCCAGGATATTTTACACCAAAGGATTACCCAACATAAAGTACTTTATACAGCCCTGGAAACTTTGGCCAAGTCTAGCAACTCAGGAATGGTTAGATAAGGCACAGTGCAGACACACTCTTTGTAGTCATTGTCACATGGGAACCCAAAGCTATTGGGGAGGGGTCAAGAAGCAAATTTTTAGTTTATTTGGTTTCATCTAGCCCATTCTCAAATTTAAGCAACTATCAGGAAGATCAGAACATCCTGCACAAATAGCTGTAGAGTTGGGTGTTATCAGCATACCAGTGATATCTCACTCCAAAGTCTACATGAACTCTGCCAGCAATTTTATTTTTGTGAAGCTTGAAAATAATCCTGAAGTTGATTTTAAAAAGTGAGCTACTGAACCTGAGGTGTCAAGAGAGAATCAGTCACTGTTGCCTTCAGAAGATTCCTCTCCATATCAACCCAGAGACTATCATAACCACAGCTCACAATCTATTTTTTAGGAATTAACCATCACAGGCATCTGCTACATTATGACATGATTGTGTGTGCCAACAATATTAGTGAGTTTAAGTGTTATAAGTGTCTGATTGGTATTGTAGAAAGTCAGCATCCACCCACTCTCCTAGAGAAGGAAATATTTGGGGAGATATTTTTTAAAAAGGCAAAATATTATATTTCCCCAAAGGAATAATGGAGAAAAATCTTAAAGGTAGAAACCAGCCCCTGCCCCAAGCAGAAACTCAGTAGGCCAGCTTTTAGAAATGCAGATTTGGGGCACACCATTCATAAGCAAAAACCTTCTGCCTCCACAGCTGATGAGATTAAGAATTTACATTACCCACCCAAAATCTAAGAACAGGACATAATAGGATTAATCCTACATCCTTTTCAGACTAGCAAAAGACACAAAAGTCCACCTCATTGCACAACCCAGGAACATTTCCACTTCAAAGTCTCAGGGCCCTATAAAGATCCATCCACACTCAACTCCATTTGGTCAGCAGTCCCAGAACTGCATGCTTTGCAGGTTCTATTTATCAATAAACTGGAACCTTCTTTTCTAAGCAGCCTCCATTTTTATTTCCAGCTTCTTAGCCTCCATTTTATTTACTCCCGATTTAGAACTGGACCTGATTATTTTTTTTTTCTACAGCTTTTTCATTGCTTTGATGGTATACCATGTTTTGCATAATATGTTGATCTAGGCAAAAGGTCTCATTAAAGAGGCCAATTAAGGGCTTCTCCAGAAGTTTCCATTCCTCTCACATAGCCCAACAATGGAAGGAAAACTCTCACTCTACAGGATGGAAACAAATGTAATAGCTGATGACACCTTCAAATCAAACTTTTAAATTTTAGTCATTCAGCATGCCAAAAAACCTTATTTTTATACAATATAGATTAAAACAGAGCATGACAGATAATTGCAGTTACAAAAAATGGGCTAAAGTTGAGTTTAGAGCACAACAGCTAAAGGGGAAAACTCTGTGAGCCTTCCCTTGGTGCCCTAGGTCCATGCTTATTTTGCTTACTGGTTGCCCACAGAGCTGTCCCAGCCTGTTTTTTTCATTCCATTTTGTACAAATATACTCACATTCATGTAATTATGAAGCTTTTCCTTTGCAATTCTCATGGACAAAAAAATATCAGATGGAAAGCAAGGATGGTACTTCTGAGCAAAATGTTCAGGTAAATTATTCCTCCAAAATTGCTCCAGTTCTCCTCTTTTTCGAAGTACAGTTTGGATAGAATTAAACTGAACTAGTGGAATCCTGATTGAACAATATAAATATAGATTTGAATGTTGGCACTGCCATGTACTGAATGTCAGGAATTGCATTGTTTTCCTGCTTTGAGACTCAGTGAACTGATACTATTATCAGAGAACATTATGGGTAGGCTTTATCTCTTTAGTTTAATTGGACATACTCACTGGACATGAACCATTTAGACCTTGCCATTAGAAAAAGTGGCCACAGACATATAAAAAGCTCCCTGTGACACACAATTCATCCAGGGAGATGATGGTCTTGGATGTAGTGTGGGGCACTCTCTGCCAGTTCAACCTGTAAGACCTCAGGCCTTAGAAGTGTGTCTTAATCTTAGTAGCAATACTATATGGAGCTGAGGGAGATTCAATGTTGGACTATCCAAATGGACCCTCCTCCAGCCCAAAATATTAGCCTGCAAAATGAAAAAAACAAGATAGCTTGGGGAAGAAGAAAACTATGACAAAACTTTAGAGAGTGGGTAAAATATAAATGCATTTATAACCAGTCAAAACAATCAGATGCTGCTTCTTTGTAGTACCTTCTTTTCTTTTTTCTTTTCCCCCCCTAATATTTGTATTTGTAATAAAGATTTGTGATATTCTAATATAACATCTGAGAGACTCAGCAGGAGATGTCTACATGTATCACCTACTTCCATAGCAGATAAATTACAGTTAGTGCTTAAATGTTCTGGCCTTATAAGAACTGGATTCATGTGATTCATTTTGGTTTTGCCAGAAATGAAAACTATAGTAACATCAATCTCTAATAAATAGTTTCTGACATTATTTAAACATCGTAAATTTTTCTAAGGAAGTAAACTGATACATTTCTTTCATATTGCTACATATACACACAAATAAGTATGCTCCGAAATTCTTTCTTACCTTATCAGAGCAGTCATAAACGGAATATAAACCAAAGTCACTAAGAGAAACTTCATGCTTTCAATGTATTGAAAATGAAAGTGCAGCTGATTTCTTGGAGCATTTGCTCTTTTATGTGTCAATGTGGTTCACTGGAATCCAATCAGCTATTGATGAATCAATAGCTGTTTGGCAGGACATCTGCAATATGCTGTAAAAGCACAGTTGTTTTGTGTAAATATTGTAATCTGTGAGGGATGGGCAGACCTAAATTGGGATCTACTGGTAGATGACTGAACTATTATGATTTATCAATTGTTGTTTGTATCTTATGATTTAGGAGTGTATTTTACGGTTTATGATCTATGACCTATCACTTTCTTATTTGTATGTACATCAAAAGCTTATGCACTGGACATAAATTCCTTGTATGTCCAATTACACATGGCCAATAAAGAATTCTATTCCTATTCCTATTCCTATTCTATTCGATCAGCATGTTTTCTGACACAAATTATTTTAACAATAGTTGCTACCTAATTGCATACAAGTCACTAAAAGCCTTTTCTCCAAGTCTAAATGAGCATGAATCACTTGTGAAGGAAACATCTGAAGGAAGACTTGTTTCTGGAGCATCCTAGAGCACAGCTGTTGATTGAGTACTTTAAGAGGGTGGGCATCTGTGAGCTATTTTTTGGAGAAATATAGGAATTATAACAGAATAACAGAGTTGGAAGGGATCTTGGAGGTCTTCTAGTCCAGCTCCTTGCTCAGGCAGGAAACCCTTGTTGTTGTTGTTGTTAATTGCGAAGTCGTGTCCGACCCGTCGTGACCCCATGGACAATGTTCCTCCAGGTCTTCCTGTCCTCTACCATCTTCTGGAGTCCATTTAAGTTCACACCTACTGCTTCAGTGACTCCATCCAGCCATCTCCTTCTCTGTTGTCCCCTTCTTCTATTGCCTCAATCTTTCCCAGCATTAGGCCCTTCTCCAGTGAGTCCTTCCTTCTCATTAGGTGGCCAAAGTATTTGAGTTTCAACTTCAGGATCTGGCCTTCTAAAGAGCAGTCGGGATTGATCTCTTCTAGGACTGACCGGTTTGAACGCCTTGCAGTACAAGGGACTCGCAGGAGTCTTCTCCAGCACCATAGTTCAAAGGCCTCAATTCTTTGGCGCTCAGCCTTTCTTATGGTCCAACTTTCACAGCCATACATTGCAACTGGGAAAACCATGGCCTTGATTATACATACTTTCGTTGGCAGAGTGATGTCTCTGCTTTTTAGTATGCTGTCTAGATTTGCCATAGCGTTCCTCTCCAGGAGCAAGCGTCTTTTAATTTCTTGGCTGCAGTCCCCACCTGAGGTGATCTTGGAGCCCAGAAAAATAAAATCTGTCACTACCTCCATTTCGTCCCCATCTATTTGCCAAGAATTGAGAGGGTCGGATGCCATGATTTTGGTTTTCTTAATGTTGAGTTTCAAGCCAACTTTTGCACTCTCCTTCTTCACCCGCATCAAGAGGCTCTTTAGTTCCTCTTCACTTTCTGCCATTAGGGTGGTATCATCTGCATATCTTAGGTTGTTTGATATTTCTCCCGGCAATCTTAATTCCAACTTTTGATTCATCTAGCCCTGCCTTTCTCATGATGTGCTCTGCATATAAGTTAAATAGGCAGGGCGACAGTATACAGCCTTGCCGGACTCCTTTTCCAATTTTGAACCAATCAGTGGTTCCGTGTCCAGTTCTCACTGTTGCTTCTTGACCGCATATAGGTTTCTCAAGAGACAAATGAGATGGTCTGGTACTCCCATCTCTTTAAGAACTTGCCACAATTTGTTGTGATCCACACAATCAAAGGCTTTAGCATAGTCAATGAAGCCGAAGTAGATGTTTTTCTGGAACTCCCTAGCTTTCTCCATGATCCAGCATATGTTGGCAATTTGATCTCTAGTTCCTCTGCCTCTTCGAAATCCTGCCTGTACTTCTGGTAGTTCTCGATCCACATACTGCTGGAGTCTAGCGTGTAGGATTTTAAGCATAACTTTACTAGCCTGTGAAATGAGTGCAATGGTGCGATAGTTTGAACATTCTTTGGCATTGCCTTTCTTTGGAATTGGAATATAAACTGACCTTTTCCAATCCTGTGGCCACTGGTGAGTTTTCCAAATTTGCTGGCAAATTGAGTGTAGCACTTTTACTGCATCGTCTTTTAAGATTTTGAATAGCTCAGCTGGAATACTGTCACCTCCACTAGCTTTGTTGTTGCTAAGATTTTCTAAGGCCCATTTCACTTCACATTCTAGGATGTCTGGTTCGAGGTCAGTGACCATCTCATTGTGGTTATCTGGGATGTTAAGCTCATTCTTGTATAGTTCTTCTGTGTAGTTTTGCCATCTCTTCTTAATCTCTTCTGCCTCTGTTAGGTCTCTGCCATTGTGGTCCTTTATCATGCCCATCTTTGCATGAAACGTTCCCTTCATATCTCCAATTTTCTTGAAGAGATCTCTGGTCCTCCCTATTCTGTTGTTTTCTTCTATTTCTTTGCACTGTTCATTTAAGAAGGCATTCTTATCTCTTCTAGCTATTCTCTGGAATTCTGCACTCAATTGGGTGTATCTTTCTCTTTCTCCTTTGCCTTTCACTTCCCTTCTTTCCTCAGCTATTTGCAAAACTTCCTCAGACAGCCATTTTGCTTTCTTGCGTTTCTTTTTCTTTGGGATGGTTTTAGTTGCTACCTCTTGTACAATGTTGTGAACTTCCATCCATAGTTCTTCGGGCACTCTGTCTATCAGATCTAATTCCTTAAATCTATTTGTCACCTCTACTGTATATTCATTAGGAATATGATTTAGTTCATACCTGAGTGGCCTAGTGCTTTTCCCTATTTTTTTCAATTTAAGCCTAAATTTTGCAACGAGAAGCTCATGATCTGAGCCACAGTCAGCTCCTGGTCTTGTTTTTATTGACTGTATACAGCTTCTCCATCTTTGGCTGCAGAGCACATAGTCCATCTGATTTCTATGTTGACCGTCTGGTGATGTCCATGTGTAGAGCCGTCTCTTGGGTTGTTGGAAAAGAGTGTTTGTTATGACCATCGTATTCTCTTGACAAAATTCTATTAGCCTGTGCCCTGCTTCATTTTGTTCTCCAAGGCCAAACTTGCCTGTTATTCCAGTTATCTTTTGGCTTCCTACCTTAGCATTCCAATCCCCAATGATGATAAGGACATCATTTTTTGGTGTTAATTCTATAAGGTGCTGTAGGGCTTCATAGAACCGGTCAATTTCATCCTCTTCAGCACCAGTGGTTGGGGCATAGATTTGGACTACTGTGATATTGAATGGTTTGCCTTGGATTCGAATTGAGATCATTCTGTCATTTTTGGGATTGTATCCCAGTATTGCTTTTCCTATTCTTTTATTGACTATGAAGGCTACTCCATTTCTTCTGAGGGATTCTTGCCCACAGTAGTATACCTGATGGTCATCTGAGTTAAATTCACCCATTCCTGTCCATTTTAGTTCGCTGATTCGTAAGATGTCGATGTTCAGTCTTGTCATCTCTTTTTTGACTACGTCTAGCTTGCCTTGATTCATGGATCTTACATTCCAGGTTCCTATGGAGAAAAAATCTTTACAGCATCGGACTTTCCTTATATCCCTATATTATTCCAAACAAATGGTTGTCTAATTGCTTCTTTAAAACCTCCAGTGTTGGAGCAACCACAACTTCTAGAGGCAAATCACTTCACTGATTAATTATTCCAACTGTTATGATGTATTTGAAATGTATTGCTAGTATTTGACTGTAAAGAAGTCTTCATATTGTTATATATTTACAGAGTTTGGCATGAAATTAACATAACTTCTGTTTGCCCAGGGTTTTTAAAAATTAATTATATTTTATAAATATTTTAATTGTCTATTCAGTTTTAATTGAGATCAGTTTTAAATAGAAGTTGGCTGGTTGCTGATTGTGATATTTAAAAGACCTTGTTTGTATTGGATTATATTGGAATGTTACAATAATCTTGTGTTTTCAGAATTTAATATATGCTACCTAAGCATCCTTCTGGTGAAGATGTAATAGGATTCAACAAATAATAAATTCAAAGTTTTGTAAAAATATGAATATCATACAGCTAAATGACTCATTTTCCTCCTTCTATTCAATTTGTCTGATTCTCAGAGACTGCCTGAAGAAATCCCTGCAATTCTCTTGGCAAGGTCCTTTAGAGGGGGTTCTCCCATAGCCTCCCTCCAAGAGGGCTGAGAGAGAGGGACTGGCTCATGGTAACCCAATTGGCTTTTTGCGTAAAACAGGACTAGAACTCATGGTCTTCTGGTTTCTAGCCTAATTACTTAATCACTACACCAAACTGGCTCTCAAAATGATTCAAGAAAGGAAACTAACTTGATATTGTCTTACTTCAGAATCAGTGTAATCTCATGGTTTTCCTCAGAGGAAAACAGGATTCAGCCCATATCCAGCCACAAATATTGGTCCAGTAATCTTCCAAGCCTTACATGTTTATTGGAGGATAAAATATTGGCAAAGGGAAAAAAACCATTCATTGCACCCTAAAAGCTTTTTCAGAGGTAGAACCAGTGCTTTTTTTGTAAAAAAAAAAAAAAAAAAAAAAAGGTGCTGGAACTCACACACGTCATACAACCCGCCTTGCCTACCCTACAAGGTTCCATCCAAAAAAGATGCTGGAACTCTGGGTAGAACAAATATAATAATCTGTTCCCACCCCCTCCCCACACACCAAAGACTTTCCAAAACTCATTATCTGCAATATTTTACTTCATTATCTCTCTGCTGAGACTTTGGCTTTGTCAATGGTCACAAGATGCAATAGCTTAAGGTCATAATGATCTATGTTGATAAAACAGATTAATGGTTAAATGGTAAACCAGACCTTCCCATCTAAATTTTATATTTTGGTACATCCCCAAAAATACTGAAGAATGTACTAAAAATGTAACAAAACACCGACAAATTGTCATAGTTATTAAATTATTTAATAAATATGACAATTTGTGTTTTGTAACAAAAAGCCAGATTAGGACAAGAGAATGTGACTAACTGCACTAATCCATTACATTTCAAACCAGATGATGCTTTAAAACATTTCTCATTCCATGCTTACTACTTTTTAAATAAAATTCTGTCACTGGGGACCCAGATCTGAATTAGGATCATATGAAATGGAGGGGAAATTAATTCCATACACTGGTCTAATTTTTCAGCTACTGAGGCACATATTCAGTGCTTTGTTCATCTTGTTCACCCCACCATAAACACAGATTCATACCACATTCTAAACCAAAATCAGGAAGCCATATCATGACTTAACACATAACTCAACCTATACATATGAATGGATAAATTGCTGAAAGTATTGATTACATTAGTGGTCATTAAGTCATGGGACACAAACCTCAAAAATGGCATGTCCTAAAGAAGAAACTCAGAAGCATTTCCAAAAACATTTGAGATCAGCGAGAACTTGACTGAGATAGTTTTACTGCCCTTTTCTATTAGAGTTGCTCCATAGGAATGTCTGTAATTCTCATCAGCAGACACTCATTCACTTATCAGAAATATTCCAAGGCTCTTGAAAATCATGATTGTTGCCATGTAGACCATGCCTCTATTTTACTTACTGGGAAGAGGAAATGCCAGAACAGAGTGAAACCCAGAGAGTTTCTACATCTACAAGTCAAGGAATATTCATCTGACTCCAAAAGCCATTGCAGCTTTTAAGAATGGGCAACACATTAAGAGCAATTATAGCCTTTCTCCCATTTGATGAGTGCCAGAAATACATCCTAGGAGACCTTGAAGAGATGCCAATTGATAAAATGTTGGATCTCAGTGGCAGGCAAGTGAGACGGTTTCCTGTGTGTGTTTGCTCTTTCAGGGAACTGGTCAAGCTGTACCTGAGCAACAACAACCTGAATCATCTGCCCCCTGAATTAGAAGAGTTACAGAACCTTCAGATCCTGGCACTGGATTTCAACAATTTCCACACACTACCCCAAGTGGTGTGCACCTTGAAACAGCTGTGTATCCTTTATCTGGGCAATAACAAACTGGGAGACCTACCTGCAGAAATGCATCAGCTCCAAAACCTCAAGACTTTATGGATTGAATCCAACTGCCTGTACAGCCTGCCCAACGTAGTGTGTGAGCTGAAGCACCTCAAAACACTGCATGCTGGATCCAATGCACTGCGCTCTCTGCCCGAACAGCTACAGTATCTGAAGGAACTGCGTACTATCTGGCTCTCCAGCAACTTACTGACCGATTTCCCACCAGTGCTTTTGCACATGCCTCTCCTGGAAGTGATTGATGTGGACTGCAATGCCATTCATGATTTCCCCAGTCTTGTCCACCTGAATGGTTTGAGATTGGTGATCTATGACCACAACCCCTGTAGAAATGCACCCAAAGTGGCTAAGGGGGTACACAGAGTTGGGAGATGGTCTGAGGAGAGCCCTGAGCCTAGGAAGCGATCTGGGATGGACAAGGAAAAAGGAATAAATGATATTAACTCCCTGCTGCCTCCCCCTCCTCCTCTCTCCTGTAAACTGTCCAATTAAAGAGCAAGAACATTCCTCAACCACCAAAGACTGAAGAATTATTAATGCCTATGGCTACCTCTCAGAAATGCTCAACAGGACGATTGGATTGGCTTTTGCTTTTGCAGGCTTGCATGAAGGTGACATTGGCAGAGTATCACTTGTTCCAGTGGTATGTATGTATCTGTATGCCTGCACCTGCACAGTAGCTATTTCAACACTTGTAGCAAACGCGTAGTTGGAGAGTTCAGAACAGAGACGGCAGTCAGCAGCTGTAATGTTATATAACTGCTTCTTTTCCCAGGAATCAAAATGGAAGGCTAAAACAATGCAGATGAATCAGATGACAGGATGGCCATTTTTTATTTAAACAGATGTTGAATGAATTTATTGTATTTTCCCTGTCAATAAATTATAGCACTGGACTCTTAATAATAGAGGCATTGTCTAGAAGCATCCTGAAAACATTTTGAAACCTTTTATCCTGTCTATAATTATTGGTTAATATAAATAAGCAACATTTCAAACTAGCTGCTATTTAAATAAGGTCTTCCAATCAGATCCTAAAATGTTCTTAAGAGTTATTAAAGTCTGGATAAAAATGATTTGGGATTTTTTCTCTCATACTTTTATGGTTTACCGTGCTTCATTTCTTTTAATGTATTTATACTCAGCTCACTTTGTTAATTACAGTGCAGCTGAGAAATATTTTAACTTTTATTCCATGTTTTTATGGAAAGTAAATCACAAACACACTCTAACTCATCTATTTATTTGTTTTCTGCCTTTATTTTTACAAATAGTAAACATAACCAACATACAGTACCTTCCTCTTTCTATTTTCCCCACAACCCTGTGAAGTGGGTTGGGTTGGAAGAGTGACTGGTCCAAAGTTATCCAGCTGGCTTTCATGGCTATGGCAGGACTTGAACTCACGGTCTTCAACTTTTCAGCCTGGGGCCTTAACCTTAACTGTCTCTTTTGCTTGATTTTCTTGCCTTAGCTCTGTCAAAAGCATCCAGGTCAGGTGTGTGAATCACTTTTTTCAGACTACAGCAGCAATTTTAATCTACATGGATCATGTATGATCTCCAAGAATTACCGAAAAGGGAGATGGCAAGGGACAGTGTCTTTACTAGATAGGCAAAGCCCATGTTTTTCAGCAGGAGGCCATGAGGAAATGGAAGGTTAGTGATGATTTATTTTTCCTTGCAGTCACTTTTAAATGGAAATTTTTGGCTACTGTAATTTGGTGTCAGGAATTTGGTGTATTTTTGAAGCTGCAAATTGATGCCTGGAAGCCTGCAGGTGGCCATGAAATGCTCATCAATTATACTTCTATAATTTTATGCAGCAATATTGATACACTATGGGTATTCCAGAACACAGCGATTCTTGATAAATTAGATATTAGGTATTGATAAATAACATACTTTTCATCTATATAGGGATGGATAACTTCAGGTATCATGAGTAGCAACATCATTGAATAACATGACAAGTCTGTTAGAAGACATGTCTTTTTTCAGGTTTTTTTGTGTGGGTGGGAATGGTGGGTCTCTAAGTTATTTACTAATATTCCACTCCTAAGCCCTCAAGTTTAAAATACATGTTCACATTGTATCCATTATTAAGAATATTTTTTTCCTTAAAAAAAAAAAACAATTACTTAATTCACCTTGTAACTTCCAGGGCTGAATTGCTGCAATGTCCTCTACCTAGATCAGGGGTAGGCAACCTTGGCTCTTTTATGACTCATGGACTTCAACTCCCAGAATTCCTGCTCAGGAATTCTGGGAGTTGAAGTCCACGAGTCATAAAAGAGCCAAGGTTGCCTACCCAACCTAGATGGTTCAACTGACACAAAATGCTACTTTGTTTCAGGAAATCTAATGGGAAACATTTGTATATTCAATGTATTAGTTATCATTTATTTCTAACTCATTTCACTCCCCGATTTTAAAAACCTGCATTAGATGGGGCTATGCCCTCCTGGGGATGTAGCTCTTAACTACTATTAGACATTTGATAAATTTACCAAACATTTAAAAGTTACTAACTTTAAGTCAGGGTTCCAAAATTAAGGAGTTTCCTTCCTAAGAAGGCTTGAAAGCTATATGTAGCAGGATGCAAAAAGTTATGTCCAACCAGCTACCCTTCTGTGGCCCTGAGTGACAGGGATCAAAATGCGTTCCCTTGCAAATACTCGAGTACACCCATTTCAGAATGCAGTCTTCCATGTCACACAAAGCCCAATGCAGCCACAATGCTGTCAGTTTTTTGCAGTTAGGTAGGACACAGAAAGCTGCGTATCAGGACAACATTGACGTATCAAGTTCCACAATCATATTATGCTTTATGAGCTCTTCCAGAATGACAGAAGGAAGACTCTTTCCTGACCATTAGTGCTGAACCTGGAATCTTATTTGAGTTTTCATACAGCCTACAATGATGGTCTTTTCTCAACTTATGAAATAAAAGTAAATATTATTCTCTGCCTTTGAAACCAAGTGCCAAATATATAATTTGTGTATTTTCTCTAATTGCTATTCAGTTTACAAATGCATTCCTAAGGTGAAAGGGGTTTTTTATTCAGAAAGATGCTTCTGTCTAAATATATTTCTCTCTTTTCTTTCAACCTCTTGTAAATTCTGAGTTTCTTATTGTTTCATGCATCTCAAAATGCTGGCTAACTCTTCAAATTTTCATATCAAATGCATCTGTTCTGATTAGTTCTGATACGAAACTATCATTTTACTCCAACGAGTATATCTACCTCCAGAATTTTAAAGCATACCAATAAAATAAATTTGAAAGATGAGCCCTAAAAATTTTCATACTTCAATTTTCACAACTGACTTATCTGTAGGACGCATTTTTCATATTTTGATTAAAAATTCAAGAGTCTACTTATCCACGGATGGTCTTACATATATACAGAATATATTTTTAAAAGTCTATTTGGCAGGTAAGCGAAACCCAATTTTGGCAGTGCATTTCAGCACCTAAAATTGTTGGCTTATCTGAGAGTATATACACTTAGGAGCCAAATTACTTTGCACTTGCTAGTACATAAAGTAAATCTACTGCAATATCTTATCTTTATTAATGTAAGAACAACCAATCCAATACTTTTCTGATGCATTAAATTGTAACTTCCCTAATTCCTTATTACTGGCCACACTGGCTGAGGCTGATGGGAGCTGAGGAATAGTTTTAAATGAACTAAACATAAGATGCAATTTTTAGTTTAAAATAATGATCCTGAACACTGCTTATAAGATCAAGCTGCCATCTACAAATGTTTAAAGTAATCTGCTCTTTCACTTTTCCAGGTTTAAGTGCACATTCAGTGAAATAATGATAGGAAAATAAAAGATTAATCTATTTCTATTTGAAATGTTTATTATGAGTACTACACAAAAGGAACAGTGAAGGAGTACAGATGTTGTACAATCATGTGTTTTTTTAAAAAATAATACAAGTTAAATCAAAACACTTATGCGTCGGTGCTAAATGTGCCATTCCTTCTGTAATCTGTTAGAAGTACAATCCAATCTGGTTCAAATGTTCTTTCTGAATGCAGAATGTTCAACAAGGATACCGATCTGGTACTCGTTTTCTGAAAGAAGCAATAGAATTGTGTATAAGCAGATGCCACAGGACAGGAAAATATTTCTTTATTCAAAATAGCAATAGCGATTAGATTTATAGTGCTTTACAGCACTCTTTGGGCAGTTTATAATGTCAACAATCTTTACCGACCTCAGAAGGATGGAAAGCTGAGTCAATCTTGACACTCATCAGGATCAAATTCTAGGCTGTGGGCAGTTTGCCCAAAATACTGCAGTCTAACCACTGTAGCACAATTAATTATAAATAATAAATCTCAATTTAAGATTTAATTAAGTAGTATTAGCTCATATAACCTGGTAACAGTGAATCATAAAATAAATACTGAAGCTATATGTGCAATTTTTAAACTATAAAAACATGGGTAGATAATCAAAAATATAAATGTCCCATTGGTGTATCCCTTCCAACTATATATTACGAAATGAGAGTAATTTTTGACCTTTTTAAACCACAATCAACAATACATATATTGAGTCTCCACAGAGATTAACCCAACTATTTCTCTTCAACGCCTCCTAAAAATTAACAATTTCAGCCTATCTCTGGTGATATCCCTGCATCTATGTCCTGTTCACTGTTGCCCTCAGAGGTCAAGACAATAACTAGAAAAAACATTCTGCTTGAAAACGCTGCCCACCCATTGAAAAATATTTGATATTTAATTAGCTCATTCTCTCACAAGTGATGAAAAGTTGTACTTTACCTTGGTGCCGCCTTAATGATGTCATCAACACGTAGAATGACTTCTGCTGCTTCAGCAGCACTTAACAAAACCTGACGTTTCACCTGAAAGCTTTCAACGACTCCTAGACTTGCCATGTCTGCAATAGCAGCCTCTTTCATATCTTAAAGAGATTACAGAGAATTATCGACTTTTTCATTTTTGTTTCTGTTGCAATTTTCAACTACACAATTATTGTTTATTAAAGTGATCCATATTATGAGTTTATGCATTTGGTTAGTTGGTGAATTGAAGAGGAAGAGCTCAGATGTCCATTTAGATCTGAGGACTGTCTCTGGGTTCACAATCAGCCCAGGACTAAGGTTTTATCAGAGAAATTTGAAGCTTTACACTAAATTTCCATATATATTTTCTTAGGCATGGTCACATTGTCTAGGCCTATATGAATCCAAAGTTAAAAACGCATAGAGCAGGGCTGTCAAACTCAATTTCACTGAGGGCCGCATCAGCACTGTGGTTGCCCTTGGGGGCCGGGTGGGTATGGCCATGGTGGGTGGGCATGGATGGAGTGGGTGTGGCCAGCTCTACATCATTCGTGTCAAGGGTGCCTGTGGTGGCCTGGGCAGCAGTGGGACAGATCTGAGGGTCTCTGGCAGAAGGGGATGGAACCAAGGCAAGTGCCAAGGCATGGTCCACTGGAAGAGCTCAATTCCTCTCAGGCCATGGAGGGGGGGGGCTGGATGGTGGCACGGGCTGCCCGGAGCCTTGGGCAGCAGAGGTCAAATGCTCAGCCTGGCCCTTGAGCACCCGCGGCACCAAGCTCAGCCCCACTTCCCCAAGGGGACACCCAGCTGCACTTACCTCAAGGCTGCTGCTACTATGCTTGCTCTCCTTACCCAGGTTGCTCATGATGGGTACGAGGGCAAAGTCAGAGGGAGGCCCATTCCCTCTCCATGGGAGGAGACCCAGCTTTATATCCAAAGCTTCCTTAGCAATAGGATGGGAGACCCCTGGGATAGGCCAGGAGGAGAGGGCAAGGGGATGGTGAAAGGGCAGCAGGACAGGACTTCCCTCAGACCCTCCCTCTCCTTCTTTCCTTCCTTCCTAAGTTTAGAGTGGTGGGAAAATATTTGAGTTGAGGGAGAAAAACAGGCAAGAAATGCAGCTGGGGAGGTGTCACCCTTCGTGAGGAATGAAGAAATGCACCATCACCTGGAAGTGGCCAGCACATGGCCCTCACCTAGTTCACATATCTGGCTTGGTGGCTCTGGGGGAGGGGATGCCATGAGCAACGTGAGAGTCAACATTATGTGCGCCATGCTACCCAGCCCCCAGCCTGCCCAGTTTTGGCAGTAGTGGAGTGTTTTCCTCACAGCGCTGAGAGTTGAGCCGGGCAGTGCGAAGCTCGCCAGCTTTGCATCTTGCTGCCTGCTGAAACTGGGCACGCTGGGGGCTAGGAAGCATTGCACTTCTCATCAAATTCGCGCCA